GAAGCTTTTTAATCTAATCAAGTCCCATTTATTTACTTTTATTGTTGTGATTGCCATTGGGGTCTTCTTCATAAATTCTTTGCCTAGGCTGATATCTAGAAGAGTTTTTCCGACATTTTCTTCTAGTATTCTTACAGTTTCATGCCTTACATTTAAGTATTTTATCTATCTTGAATTAAGTTTTGTGAGTGGCGAGAGATATGGATCCTGCTTCATTCTTCTCCACATGGCTATGCAATTTTCTCAGCACCATTTATTGAATCAGGATTCTTTTCCCCAGTGTATAATGTTGTCTGCTTTGTCAAAGATCAGTTAGCTGTATGTGGATGGTTTTATATCTGAGTTTTCTGTTCCATTCTGTTGGTCTGTGTCTCTATTTTTGTACCAATATCATGCTGTTTTGGTTACTATAGCCTTGTAGTATAGTTTGAAGTCTGGTAATGTGATGCCTCCAGATTTGTTCTTTTTGCTTAAGATTGCTTTGGCTATTTGGGCTCTTTTCTGGTTCCAAACAAAGCATAGAATTATTTTTTCTAGATCTGTGAAATATGATGTTGGTATTTTGATGGGGAGTGCATTGTATCTGTAAATCACTTTGGGTAGTATGGACATTTTAACATGTTGATTCTACCAATCCATGAGCAAGATATGTTTTTCCATTTGTTTGTATCATCTGAGATTTCTTTCATCAGTGTTTCGTAGTTCTCTTTGTAGAGATCTTTCACCTCCTTGGTTAAGTATATTCTAAGAACATAAATTTATATTGTTCTAACATTATGCTAATGCTTTTACATATATCATATAATGGTATTGTGTAGGGAAGACTTTTTGAAAGGCAGAGGGAATCCACAATATTGATCTCTAATGCCTTCAAAATTGTCCATATGGGCAGAACTTGGAAGGTAATATTCTACACTTGATCTTAGCCAAAAGACCAAGAAATGACAGAAGGTAAGATTCTTTAACACACTTGATCTAGTCTTTTAATGGGAAGGCACTTTTGAGACAACTAGTGTCCACCCATAATAGGGATACCTGGACAGTGAAAAAAGCCAAAACCAGGTTGCCTAAAGATGGTTTTTTTCCCCTGAAAAAGAGAAAATTGATAGGAGTGGGTGGTGTGGGAATAACACTGTTCAATAATTGAAGGGCTTTCTTTTTTTATTTGGATTTAAAAAATAACTTTTTGGTAAATGGCTTCAGATGGCAGCAATAGCATCACAGGTGGAAATTATAGAGAGTAGGATTTCAGCTCAACCACTGGTCCAAGCTGCATGGATATGATATCCAGGTGCTTTGTAATGACCTGGTTCTCAAGAACCATCGCCTATTTGGGACACTGGGAAGGGACAGAATTCTGAGGTTGTATGGGAGAGAGAGCTAGAAGCCTAATAGCCAGGGTCCTTTACCACTCAAAGAATCTATGAATTAACTGTGTCTGCTTCCTCTCTCCACACAGGCAAAGTACAAATAGAAAGTGGTAGAGATATATATGGTACATCTAGTGTGTGTGTGTGTGTGTGTGTGTGTGTGTGTGTGTGTGTGTGTGCATGCACACACACATATTTGAAGGCAATTGCTGAAAAGGCCTTTCCACAATCATTTTGTGCAATGACAGCAGCATAGCAGTTGTTGACAGTGGACTTGGGAAATAACAATCAGTCGAATGTTAGTCCTAGTGAATTAATTCCAAGTCTCCCCAGGATTAAAGGACTGTAGAACCTGTCTGTCCTCCTGGGCTTGGAGAAGGTTCTCTGGTGGAAGGGTTGCCCTGCTGTCATCTAGGGGTCCTCCAGAGTCATCAGACAGTATCAAGCAGTGGCTAAGAGCGAGGACATAACAGAATTTAGATTCTGGTTTGGTTACATTGCCAGCCACATGGTCTTGAATAAAATGTCTAACCTTTTTGTTCCTCATTTTGTTATCTGTAAAATGAGAATGATAAAACCTACTTTAAGAGCTCATTGTGAGGCCGGGTGCAGGGGCTCACACCTGTCATCCTAGCACTCTGGGAGGCCGAGGCGGGTGGATGGTTTGAGCTCAGGAGTTCGAGACCAGCCTGAGCAAAAGCGAGACCCTGTCTCTACTAAAAATAGAAAGAAATTAATCAGCCAACTAAAAATATATAGAAAACATTAGTCGGGCATGGTGGCACATGCCTGTAGCTCCAGCTACTTCAGAGGCTGAGACAGAAGAGATCACTTGAGCCCAGGAATTTGAGGTTGCTGTGAGCCAGGCTGACACCACGGCACTCTGGCCTGGGCAACAGAGTGAGACTCTGTTTAAAAAAAAAAAAAAAAAAAAAAGAGCTCATTGTGAGAATTAAATGAGATAACAGATACAAAGCACTCAGGAGAGCTCCAAGCACAGGGTAAACACTTAAGAAGTGGCTATAGTTAGGCCCAACCTCATGTGCCGTACAGCAAGCTGGGCATGGGCTGCAATCCATTTTGGTTATCTTGGTTATTTATTCGATTCACTCCCAGGCAAGAATGTGAGCTCCAAAAGAGAAGTAGCATGGCTGATTTATTCACTATTTTATTTCCAGTACTTTGCATGCTGTCTGGCACATCTGATGTGCTCATAAATATGTCGTAAATGAAAAATAAAAAAAAGGAACCAATCAACAAGTATATGGAAGAATGAATGGCAAGCACTTCTTAGGGACTGAGAGGTGCCTCAGGGAGGAGGTGTAACTGCATTCCTCTCCGTCTAGGAGATTATCCAGCTGCACCCAGGATAGGAAAAGAAATAGAAATATTAATAGCTGTGTCTTGTTCCTCTCCAGGCCCACAGTGAGTTTCTCTCAGTGTTAGCAGGGACTGGTCCCTGCCAGCCTCCCCTTGGCACAGCTATTAACTGTCCCCCAGACCAAAAACAGGACCAACAAGCACCTATCAATGAGATAGGTATTGATTTGCTACCACCCTTGCTATCTTATGGGTGAGCATATTGAGCCAAAGAGTTTAAATAACCACGGGGTGAGACAACCACCACCGGTAGGTGAAAATGTCAGGATTCAAACCAGATCTGCGGGCTCTAAAGGCCCTGTTCTTTACCCCATGGCCGCTGGTACAGCAATTGCAGGAAGGCAAGATTTATTAGCATTATCTTCTGAAAGAAAGACCCGCTCTTTATCAGGGTGCGTGTATTAAGCTAAGCCTGGCACTGAAGGTAAAGACGGCTCAACTGCGTGAGGGTGACAGGGGGCTGGATCCGATGGGACGGCAGAGCTTTGCTAAACCCCTCTGTGGGTCCCCTCGCCGCCCAAGGCCCGTCGACCTCAGAGTGTGGCAGCCACCTGCCAGCTCACTGCAATCCAGACCACAGACTCAGAATCTCCAAGGTGGAGGCCCAGGAGTCGGCTTCCTGGCTGATTCTGAGTTACTGAAGTTTGAGAACCCTTGCCCTGGGCACCGGTCCCTCCTGCGCCTTGGCCTCCCTCTCCTCCACCCAGTCAGCAGGCAGTTCACTCTCTTCTGCGCCACAGCCCGGGTCACGCAGGAGGGAGCCGAGGCCAGAGCAGCACCGCCGGGAGCCCAGGGACATCGGTGCCGCGGTGGGCCCCGGCAGGGCCTGGCAAACCCTGGTGCCTGGGGAAGGCCTTGCTCTAGGAACCAGGGGGAGCTTTGTTTTTCATTCACTAGTGTCAGAATTCCTCCAGCTTGGCTAGGCCAACCCACGGAAAATGAACATCAGCAGATTCCCAGAAGCCAGTCAATCTCTGGGGTTGGGACAGGGAGAGCAATTCCTCATGCTCCGACGAAGGGAAGGGCAAGAAGCAAGTGGGCAAGACCGTGGGAGGCTGAGGACTCTGCAGAGATGTGCAAAGAAGCCTCCTGGGGGAAACGTGTAAAAGAGATGTGCAGGTTGTTTCCTGACAACACGCGAGCAGCATGTGAGGTAGCCTTTCCGCTAGTTCTTCAGCAAATTCTATTAAACCCACGAGTATTTGCTGCGAGTGATTTTTGTTGTGGAAACTGAAGAAGTGTCCGATCTTCAGTCGGAAGATGAGGCTGGTTCAGGCTGCATTCTGAGACCTGGGGTCCTGGGGTCTGGGAGGAGCCTACGAACTCAGAGGCCCCTGGGATTCACAGTCTGGGGGGCTTTCGGATTCCACAGGCCACAGAACCAGAGGGTCAACCAGATGTTACCTAATCTTGGGGGACAGGGAGGCCTCCAGCCAACCACTCAACCCTGAAACTGCAAAGTGAGAGGTAAAATGGAAACTGTAGCTCGGCTGTATAAATGCGATACTAATTACAGCCATTTGTGCAAACCGCTTTCCATTAATGGTTAGTTGCTTGCCATGCGGTGCAATAGCAGTTCCGCATCACATGAGCTGCACGTCCGATTAGCTGAGTTTTATGTGCCTCCATGTGGACCGCTCTTCCCCAGGCCTTGCTTTGGTGGCCTGGCTGTCTGTGGGTTAACACAGTGGCTTCACTCACGACTTAAAACAACAAAAAAAAATAAGAGCACAATACTCAGCACCTGGCTCATTCTCTCCTTTAAGGGGAGGATTACCTGGTATTGGCCCAAACATCAGTATACTGTCTGGTCTTTGGGGCTTGGCAAAAAAGAGAATGTGAGTTCTAACACTTTATATCTGTTTACCCTTTTCTTGAATTTAAGGGACCTATAAAGTGTCCCTCGCCAAAGCGACTGGATCCCTGCACACCTGCATGATCATTCCTAGCTAATGTGAATAACTCCTCCTAAGAGAATAAAATATGGAAACAACTCCTCGGGGTACAGTTAATAAAGACAAGTGAAAAGGCTCTCCAGTACTCCCCCTACGCAATGAGCCTGGAGGTGGAGAAGACCAGCTCACGCATTCAAAGAGGCTGTTTCTGAGAAGGTGCCTCCGCTACCCTTCCAACTCTTCCTGATGGCCTGCTATGGAAACGGGGTTGGGTGAAGGGCCACAGAGGCATAAAGTGAGCCCAGGAAAAAGAAGAGAGAAGAGGAGAGGAGTACAAATAGCAAAGCAATCTTACTTCTGCACGTCTTCTGGTCCGAGTTGAGAATGTATCCTTGTTTGCACCTGCAGACGTAAGAGCCGGGGGTGTTGATGCAGAAGTGGGCGCAGCTATGCTGCAGGGTGCTGCACATGTGCGCCGCTGAAAGGGAAGACAGGGAAGGTCGGTGAGCAGCGATGCCTCCTCTAACTTCATCCCACCCAGCAGACGTTATTTCAGAGCCTGCTCTGCGAAGGAGACGGCCGGTCCCAAAGAGAACCAAGCTGCAGCCCCTACCGTCACGGGGGTTCACAGTCTAGGATAGACAAGATGGGTCTAGACAAATGCCATCAGCGACATACCGATAGATACAGGACTATGTAAGGTGAAGGGGAAATAGTGTTAGGCCGAACCACATGAAAGTGCTGATACCCAATTGTTTTTGACCTGCACATTTTTGACCTAGAAATTTTCAGTTCAACTTAATAATACCCATTGGGTGGGCGAAGGGATCTGAAAAGTTTGCTGACATCAGAGAGGGCTGCGGCTACATTGTGGATTTTCAGTAAGCAGCCATGGGGTTGGAAGAAAAGCTATTAGAAAAACAAGGATGTGTTAAAGAACCAACAGTTTTCAGGATCATAAATCTCAAGAGTAATGTGATTTTTTTAATATGCAAAAGCACACAAAAAATTTTGGAATAAAAAATGCATTCATATGTTTCATGTCTCCATAATCTTTGTCTCAATTTGAAATATTTCTGCATTTAGTGCTGATGTACCTCAGCTTTCAGACACACTGGTTCCTGCCTAAGTCTGGGTGAAGCTCATAAAAATTCTCATTGTTTTTTCATCTTAAGTTATGACTTTATTCAATGTAATACAACTTGGCCATATTTAAAATTAGCAAACATCAGTATTAACAGAGCAAGCTATTCGAGTGTTCTCATAAACAAAAAAGATGTCTATATGTAGAAATATATTTTTATGACACTAAAATAAAAGTGGCTCTCAAAAGGTAAGAACAATTCCATTAATCCAGGGCTTAGAAAAACTCAGCTACTGATGAAATCCATCATAAGTATATGTCTCTTTACATCAACGTAAGAGCAATACATGAACTAAGGGAGTAAAACTGTTTTATTTCATAGCAATACAATTTAGAAGGTATTGTTCTGAGTTTATGATTGTGTTTTAGTTCTTGTTAGAACACAAATAACACTTGGAAAGTTTGTAGATTAAATCCAATCAGTCATTTTTACTTCAGAGTGAAAAACAACATCTTTTGTGTGTGTGTGTGTGTGTGTGTGTGTGACCTTAGCAATTTTCTCAACCTCTTTATATAAGAAGGGGATAAAAATAGCACCTCGCTCATAAGGACCATGTGAGGATTAAATTAATTAAGATGGTAAAGTGCTGAGAACACTGCTCATTGCCTGGGGAATGCTCGAGAAACCTGTTAACCATTTTATAGCAAAGCAAAAGCATGGTGGCATTTTGTTTTATTTTATATCTGTAGGTTTATCCTATATATAGCTCCAACTTGGTTCTCACTCAACATTAATGACAGATTCTATCTATATTGATACATGCACTATTTCATGTGATGTAAAATGCAGTCCAACTTCAGAGATGTTAAAATGTGAAGGCATATACAGTTGATCCTCATTATTCACAGACTCGGTATTTGTGACTTCGCCTACTCACTGAAATTTATTTGAAACCCCAAGGCAATACTCACAGCACTTTCACAGTCATTTAAGCACACGCTCAGCCTGATGCAGATGTTCCCAGCTGAGGGGGAACAAGGTGGCAGTACGCCTTCTCATTTCAGCTCTCATGCTATAAACAAGTGTCCTTTTCCCAGTCTACTTTGTGCCATGTTCTCTGCATTTTTGCACTTTCTGTCAGTGATTTTGCTGTTTAAAATGATGAAGTGCTAACTAGTGTTCCTAAATGCAAGAAGACTGCGATGTGCCCCACAGGGAAAATGTGTGTTAGATAAGCTTCATTCAGGTGCGAGTTACACTGTCCTTGGCTGTGAGTTCACTGTTAACAAATCCACAGTATATATCAAATAAGATGTCTTTAAACAGAAACACACATAAAACAAAGATATGCATTGATCAGTTGACAAAAATGTGACAAAAGGATTGACTTTCCCTAAAAGCAATAGTTTAGTATTCGTTAATTCAAGTGTTTGCAGTGACTTTATAGAACATAATTATCACAAATAATGGAAATCAACTGTATCTTAGATTTGACCAAATACATTAGATCTAGTGTATCCCTATTGATTTATCCATGGTCATTTGACTGTTCCTTATTTTCCTTAGCCATTTCCCCCTTGGTAAGCATTTGGGTGGTTTCCCATTTTTCACTTTCACAATGTTGTTATGAATGTTCTTGAACATGTGCAATTGTTTCTCTAGGGCTGGGTCTCAGTTTAAATAGATGTGGCCTAACTGCCTTCCAAGATGGCTCACACCAGCAATGACAAAAGTGACGATTCCCGCCTCCTCCAAACTTCAGCACATAGTCCAATCAAACTTCAAGTTTTTGACAATCTTATGAGGGAAAAAATACCATTATCTTATTTTTTTTTTTTTTTTTTTTTTTGAGACAGAGTCTCGCTTTGTTGTCCAGGCTAGAGTGAGTGCCGTGGCGTCAGCCTAGCTCACAGCAACCTCAAACTCCTGGGCTCGAGTGATCCTCCTGCCTCAGCCTCCGAGTAGCTGGGACTACAGGCATGCGCCACCATGCCCGGCTAATTTTTTATATATATATCAGTTGGCCAATTAATTTCTTTCTATTTATAGTAGAGACGGGGTCTCGCTCTTGCTCAGGCTGGTTTTGAACTCCTGACCTTGAGCAATCCGCCCGCCTCGGCCTCCCAGAGAGCTAGGATTACAGGCGTGAGCCACCGCGCCCGGCCTCCATTATCTTATTTTTAATTTGCATTTGCTCTGCATCCTGGAAGGCTCTCTTCTTTTCCTGGACTGCTGGAGTCAGATCGCCCATGGGCAGAGGGACATTCCTGAGGAACTGACAGCGCATCACTGTCTTCCTCCAGAACAAAGGAAGTCTAGCATCTAGGCGACCAACTATGGCAGTCACCCACTGGCGGGAGGCCCACATGATGAGCCTGGTGTCCGGATTCTTGGACCCTAACAGACAAAAGAGGACGATGGCAGAGTTGGGCAGAGAAGATACCTGCTGGGCAGCAGGCAGCACAGTGGGCAAGGGGATGGCTACTGGGAACAGACCTCCTGACAGCTCACAGCTCACAGCTCACACCTTATTTTGACCTTCCATGAACGACTTAATTTCTCCAAACTCCACTTTCGTCACTCAACAAACGTGGAAATTACAAGAACTACTATGTAGGGTTTTGTAGTGACAGCTTGTCCCTACAGCTTATTTTGGCCACATACCATAAAAGAAATTGGAGATCAGAGACCACAGTCTGGTGTAGTGGAACAAGCACTGAGCCAGGGGCCAGAAAACCCGTGTTCAGTTCCCTCTACCTTGAACAAATGAGGCAAGTTCAGGTGAGTCTGGTGGCTCTTTTAGGCCTATTTCTTTACCTGGAGGACAAAGCCATGAACGGTCTTTAGGGACCCTCAGTACTGACACCTCTTATTTAGTTTGTGTAGCACCCCCCTTTTCTAGACCCTGCCCTTCCTTCTCACTTCAAATGCCTGGTAACTGTGGGAACTGCCGTGGGGGATCTGAGGCAGCCCCACTCCCGGCCACCGTTGGTTGGTACAGGATTTGACAATCAGAGTGCTTGGCATTGGCATTTAGGAACTAGAACTGAGCAAAGGGAGCTCAAACCAAGGGCAAGTGACCCTGGAGGACTGACAGGCCTCCTGCCCGTTGACCCAAGAGGGAGGAGAGCAGAGTGGGGAAGGAGGGGTGGGGACCGTGACTCACCCTGCCATCCTTACTGCCATGAATAGTATAATACAGTCTCCCTCCCCCTTTTAAAGCAAGTTCAAGTTGAATTTCTGATACTTTCAACTGAAAGAATCTCCGCCATCATTACTAAAACAGAATAAAACTTTCCCCTCTGTAGAACTCTATGGACGAGTGCTGAGTGACTCTCCGAGCACCTGGGCCCAGGTGCCTTCCTGTCTCCAGTAACCTCATTTCTCAGAAGCCCTTCTGGGTCTACACTCAGGCTTTGTGTGTAGGGAGTCAGGGAGAGGAATAACTCATCAGCAGACTAAGTCATTGGTGGGATTGGATTTTCTGGCTAGGAGTATGGACATGAGTGTTTTTTAATGATTGTATGACTGACTAAAGGGGCGATCGCCGTGGCGAGGCTGCCTGGAGGTATCGAAAGGAGCAATCACTGAGTAGGTAGACTGCACGTCTGCACCACAGGGCCTCCAAGGGGTGCGGCCAGCGTGGACTTTGCCCAGGCCAGCTGGTGAAGGGTGTGTCCTAGGAACATTATTAGGGCCTTAAATTGGCCTGGCCCGGGTTGGCTGAAGCTATTAGGACAGGAACAGCTTGGCTCCTTGCTCTGAAATACCTGGAAAGGCTGATAAAGCAGGCACCTAGAGGCTAATTAAAAGCAGACCTGCCCAGGTTTCCAGGAATCACCAGAGCTCTTGGGTCAGCGTTTCCAGCCCCTAGACTCGGTGTTCTTCCCTCTAACCGGGTGGCAAACATGACGCAGCCCAGGATGGGTGGGGTTTGGGTCATCTTGTAGACAAGACCTCAATTCACAGGCACCTGGCCTCCAGGTCTCTCTGGTGGCCTCAGGGGTGGCCTGAGAATGTAGCCTCAGGATTCCCCCTTGCTGTGGCTGGTGTGGGAAGTCACTGCCCTTGGGTATAAACCCACCACTGTATACAGGCTCAAGGCTACACGGCCAGAGAGAGCCAAAGCCAAGACTCTCACCCCAGGCAGTCTGGCTCCACAGCCAGGTCAATTCCTCACTGTGTGATAAAGGTCCCATCTGGATCACATCTGGGCACTGCCTGTCTCCTCCACTCTGCAAACACAGCATTGCTTTTCAGTTCCGCCTGCAAAATTCCCGGGCTCACATCTCAACTCTATCCCTACGACTGCCTGGCCTGGGATAAGTTATTTAACCTCTCTGGGTCTCAATTTCCTTTCCTGTAAAATGGGAATTATAAGAGCACCTACTTCACAGGTTTGTTGTATGGATAAAATGGCTTAACACATACTAATAGCTAAAACAACACATGCATATATTAATATCAATAAATATTAGCGATTATTATAATCACCTCCACTTCAAAGCTCTCCTGGAGCCCCTAGGCAGAGCCTGGCATTCTTTGGCTCAAGCTCCCCTGGTCTAAGGTGACTTTCTGAGGCCTCTGAAGTGTACACTTTGTATAGCAAACACCCCATTGCTCTGGAATGAGAACATCTTTCCACCTGCCTGGAGCCCTCTTACCAGCCCTGGTAAGAGCTGAGGCTCTCAAGCTCCAGCTCTGCTATCTGGAGTTACATATCCTTTCTAAGCCTCAGTTTCCACTTCTGGAAAATGAGGCTAATAGAGCTGGATGCAGTGGCATGGGCCTGTAGTCCCAGCTACTCAGGAAGCTGAGATGGGAGAATCGCTTGAACTCAAGATTTTGAAGCCAGACTGGGCAACAGAGCAAGAGATCCTATCTCTTAAAAAAAAAAAAAAAAGCATAATAATAGTACCTGCCTCAAAAGGCAGTTTTAAGTATTAAATGGAATAATGTATAAAAAGTACCAAGAAAGGACAAGATTAGCTATTATCAGGAAGTAGCTCAATACACACTTTAAGGAACAAATGAGACTTCCAAAACTGCAGAGATGTCATCTGCAGATTGGAAGATGACAACTCCTGTCTGATCATCTGAGTGCAGATCAAAACTGAGGCCATTTGCCCAGCCTGTTGGTCCTCAGTGTGTTTGCTGGCAATGACATAAAACATGGCGCACACTGATTAGGGCTCTACAGTTTACAACTCCTGTTCACACATCTACTCTCTGCAGGTAAAAGCCCCATTTTACAGATGAGGCAACTGAGGCTCAGTCAGCATTGTGAAACCGGAGGCTGCACCTCTTCACCCTGCAAAGGCTCCCTTCAGAGCGTCACCTATTTTGGGTGCATGCCAACCACAAAGCAGGTTAACCTGGCAAGGCTGGACTGTGGAGGCTGCCATCAGAAAATGGTTTACCTACAAAGAGGAATTTATAATTCTTGACATGCAGGGGAGTGAAATGAGGAAGAGATATGGCATCAGAACCACCTCCTGCCTGTTTATTTTTGGATGCTTCACTTAACAAGTGTACAAACCTGTACAAAGGGAGGGAAAAGACCGTGCTGCCTGACTCCCCAGGTTTTCCTGAGGATCAAACGCGAAAGCACGAGGGAAAGTGCTTTATAAATGTTAGTTCCTGCCGGCCCTGGGGCCTCCTCAACCTTTCAAGACAGTCGGTGAGTCTGCTCAGCAGAGCCTGGCAGTGCGGGGAGAGCACGGCACCCCGGCTCCTGCAGAATGGGGAGGGGCGGGGGGAACCCGGGGGAGTTCACTTCCAGACCACATGAGCCATCGGAGTAATACTGATGTTTTCTTAAAGCTTCCAGATTACAACAAAGATGATGGAGGAGAAAAAAAAATCCAAACTGCCTTTTATTATTATAAGTTTGCTGTCTTGCCATGAAGCACACAGAGAAGGTCCTTGCATGGCCAAGTTCACGCTCAAACGACACAGCGTCAGTCCTGCTGTGTCGCTCCACAGCCCTATCATAGTATCTCTTGCCAGTGGCTGACAAATACAGAGCACTTACAAAAGAACTCCTCCGTTAAAATTTCCCAACGCAAATGAATAAACTGTCAAAGCCGTTACGGAACCAATTTCTCTTTTAATATTTCCAGGAAAGGGGGAACATAAATTCTGCAGAAGTCATTTAAAGTCATAAACCTTAAAAATGTTTGCAGTGTGTTCTGATTGAAGTTTTCCAGTTGACTTAGGCCACGTCACACCACAACACAGCCCCTCTGCGGTGCCAGGGGAATGACACTTCTGAACATTTTCCGAGTGACATTGCAAAGAAAAGTTCATTTTTCCTTCACGGCATTGATTTTTTTTTTTAAGTAAATCTTTTGACTCGGGAGTCAAGAATGAATGGGGTATCTGCTTTGGGGGGTTAGTGCTCAATAAGGTATTTTGTTTAAGATACATAAAAACTGCACTGTTCTTCTTCCTCCCTGATGCCTGTACTGTGGAGGTCTAGGGTTTGTCACAATCTGAGACCTGGTCACCAGCACCCATGGAGGGGAAGATTCCCCCTCTTGCAGAATTGGTGAGGAGTCTGCTTCTTTTTTCTTTCTTTCTTTTTTTTTTTTTTTTGAGACAAAGTCTCACTCTGTTACCTGGGCTAGAGTGCCGTGGCATCAGCCTAGCTCACAGCAACCTCAAACTCCTGAGCTCAAGCAATCCTACTGCCTCAGCCTCCAGAGTAGCTGGGACTACAGGCATGCGCCACCATGGCTGGCTAATTTTTTCTATATATTTTTAGTTGGCCAATTAATTTCTTTCTATTTTTAGTAGAGATGAGGTCTCGCTCTTGCTCAGGCTGGTTTTGAACTCCTGACCTTGAGTGATCCTCCCGCCTCAGCCTCCCAGAGTGCTAGGATTACAGGCATGAGCCACTGTGCCTGGCCAGGAGTCTGCTTCTTAAGCTCAATCTCCACTCATACACTGGGGAACGACTGGTCATTTAAAAACAGATATTTCCTTTTATTTCTCTATCAAAGACACATGGTCGCTGGAGAGGACAGAGACCACCAGGGGTGGACAAGACAGGATGGGACACTGTTTGCCAGGTCAGGCTGCACATTTCCTAGGTTGGCACCCTGGGCCCCTGCCCTCCTGGGGGAGGAAGGGACAAGGAGGCAGCTGCAAGAGAAAGGAAACTGGGGAGACAAGTGAGCTGCCCTGCTGAGAAAAGTGGGGGCAGAAGCTAGGGTTGGGGTAACCGGGAGCAGTGTAGGAAGGAAGGGAAAGAGAAGCCCTATGGAGAAGAGGGATAGAAAGCAAGAGAGGGATGAAAACTCTCAACACGGAAGAACGCATCTTCCTGCTGAAGTGGGGAGGTGGGAGGGGGACCTGCAGCCTTAACAGATGGGAAGCTGCCAGAACCACATCCTGGTCCTCCCAATACACTGGGCCTCTTTGTCAGTTGAGAAAACATCCACTGCCAGCACCACCATGGGGCAAAAATGCCCTGAAATTCCACACCACCCAAGCAGAAATTATGTTAGTACTCCTGCCCTCGTTCCCAGTCCTACTCCAACTCACAAATTCCAACTTAGGGAATGCCAGGCAGCTCGACGTGCTGGAGGGAAACCTGGTCTACCCACTCTCGCTCCTTCTGCAGTGTGGGCTCACATGTCTCTCCCCCAGGGCAAGCGCCCCGACACCCCGGCCTAGGTCAGGTCCTGGAGTTGTTCGCGCCATCATGCCCTGAATTCTTCCTCCATTACACTGTCACAGCTGCAGTTACTCACTTATTTGTGTAATTAGATACTTAATATCTGTCTCCTTGGCCAAAATATAAGCCCCAAGAGAACACTGTGTCTATCTTGGCCTTTGCTAAACACCGACTGCCAGCACAGAATGTGGGAGTCGGTAGCACAAAATGAGCACTTGAAGATGAATGAATGAGTCCAGTGACTGTCTCCTAAAAGGGCCACAGAGGAGCAGGACTTACTGCACAGCTTTTTCTGGAACACGGAAGTCAGCGTCTCGATCTGGCTGAAGTTGGCCACCAGGAAGACATGGTCCTCGTGGGGCTCACTCCCAATGGCCTTCAGCGTGTTGAAGTCCACCTGGCCCACGCCAATGGCAAAGATCAGGATGCCCGTGTCCCGCGCCTTTGCAGCCACCTCGGCCACTGAGTCCTGTGGCCTCCCGTCCGTCACGATCATTATGACCCGTGGCACATTCTCCCTCAGGGGCCGGGCCCCCTCTGCTTCTGAGAATGCGATGTTCAGGGCATACTGGATGGCCAGACCCGTCATGGTGCCCGTGGACAGATGCCGCATCCTCCTGACGGCACGCTCCACCTCGACCTTCCTCTTGAAGGTCTTGAGGGAGAACTCGTTCTTGACGGTGCTGCCATACTGGAGCAGGCCCACCCGGGTGACGTCAGGGCCAATGTCCAAGAACTGCAAGATGTCCACGATGAACTCCTTGACCTTCTCATAGTCGTGGGTGTTGACGCTACGGGAGCTGTCGATAATGAAAACCAGGTCTGCCTGCTTGTCCTCACAGGAGCTCTCTGGGGAAAGAGGAGAGGCAGGACACGTCAGAACAGAGTGAAGGACCCAGCACGGAGTGGCTGAGGCTGCCTTCAGCAGTTTCCCTCCTCACTCAGGGAAGCTGCAAGGGTGTACACGTGCATGGCAGGACGGTTGTGACTACGGGCTGCAAACAAACAGGATTGCTTTTTGCAGGATAAATGAACAGATTTGTTTCTAGAAAGTCACCAATGCAGTTTTTAGGTGGGCAAAACGCCTGATCAAGGTCAAAATTATTTTACTATTTACCAAAAGGCACATAATCTGGCTGGGCACTGGCAGAGAATACAAAAGAAGCTTAGGGCAGGGTCCAATGGCAAAGAGCTTACAGTCTACCCAGGGAGACTAACTAATGGAAAAGTGAAGGAAGCTGGGTGGTCTCACAATAGATGTTAAGAGGATAGGGATATTAGTGGACTGAGGTCAAGGGGACAGGACACGAGCTTGCCTTATGGATGCATAGAGTTTGGATTGGAGGGAAGAACACACGAACAAAAGCCCAGGATGGAATGAATGTGGTGGGTAGCAGAGTAAGTGATGAGATCTCAGAGCATAGGGAGGGAGCTGCAGGCAGGAATTAGTTGGAGGGATAGCCTGAAGCCAGTTATAAAAGGCCTTTAAATTCAGACTGAGGAATTTGTACATGATGCCACTGGGGATGGGGTGTCTTAGCATCATGCTGCCTAACTGAGCTCTCCCGCAGGGAGGCTATGCAATGAAAAGCCGATTGGGTCTGACAGTGGTTACAAGGTGGATGATCCACACAGCTGTGGCACTAATCTGGTTGAGAGGCGGACTCAGATGGCATCCGGTAGGCAGCAGTGCAAAATGAAGAAAAAGGGACCTGACCAAGAAACATTTCAGTAAAGGACACAGTTAAACTGGAAAAAGGCAAATGCTAAGTCTCTCTCTAACCCCACCACTTCCATACGTATGCCTTAGGCATTTATGCGAGAAGGCTGTAAGAGGTTTGAGTCTGTACACGAAATTCATCCCTCTGTGTTTCTGGGACAAGGGTGATATTGGATGGGAAGAGAGGCCTCCGGCCTCAGTGGGCAGAAGGTGGGCATCAGGGGTGGAGTTTCTCAGATATGCTGAGCTGCTGCCTTTAGCCAGGGCGAGTCCCTCCCCCCTCCTGCTCCTCCCCCTTCCCTTCGTGGACTTTGCAGCTAAATCAGGATTTGAAAGGGATTAGGAAAGGGATCCTAAATGCTTGCCCTAAATCCCAATCACCACAGCTGCAAGAAGGAGAGAGAAAGCCAGAAGTGAAACAGTGAAGCCAGTCAGAGAGATGAGAAGTGGGAAAGGCCCATGAGGTCATCCTGTCCAGGCGGGCTTGCCAGGCCCTGACTCGTCCCGGAGCGCCTGAACACACGCCCGGTCGCTGCAGCCTCACAGCCTAATGAAGTGAGGGGGGGCACCCCCATTCTGCCACACCCACATATAGCGCTGTTGGGGGGCTGGGTGAACCTGAGGGGAGTTTCTCAAGACAGAAGCCCTAGAAATTGCCTTTGAGGACCCAGTGATAAGATCTATATAAAACCTAACATTTGGCCAGGCGCAGTGGCTCACGCTTGTAATCCTGGCACTCTGGGAGGCCGAGGCGGGCGGATTGCTCAAGGTCAGGAGTTCAAAACCAGCCTGAGCAAGAGCGAGACCCCGTCTCTACTATAAATAGAAAGAAATTAATTGGCCAACTAATATATATATATAAAAAATTAGCCGGGCATGGTGGCTCGTGCCTGTAGTCCCAGCTACTCGGGAGGCTGAGGCAGAAGGATTGCTTAAGCCCAGGAGTTTGAGGTTGCTGTGAGCTAGGCTGATGCCACGGCACTCACTCTAGCCTAGGCAAGAAAGCGAGACTCTGTCTCAAAAAAAAAACAACAAAAAAAAAACCTAACATTTATGGGATATTCCAAAACTTTTTTCCCAGAGCACTTTGCCACTATGGTTTCATTTGATTTTCAGACAAGTTTTTGAGAAAAGAGCTAGGAGTATCATCCCCACTGGATAAATGCCAAAATGGAAGCACTGAGAATATGAAATTTTTCATCATTTAGAAAAAGAAACAAAAATATGGAGATGATCCTAATATCCACCTCATTGGGTAGTTGAGAGAATTTAAGGAAATGATGTGGGGAAACAGCCTGCATGAGGGAACCCCAACACGTGGTGGCTGCACATGCGGGCTCTCCTCTACCCGCCCCCACACACCGGCTCCCCTGCCCCGGCCCTCACCTGTGTCCAGCCCCAGGCCGGTGGGGGCAGGGCTACGGCTGTGGCTATGCAGTTGGCGCTACACACAGCCACCTGCCCAAAGAGGTGAGCAGAACTGAAACCCAGCCAAGCCCTGAGTCCCAGGGGCCGAGTCCACCCTAACAGGCACCTGGAGGAGATGCATTTCTAATTTTCACCAAGGTACCTATGGATTAGCATATAGCCCTGGGCTGGCGAGTGGATGACAGATCCACAGTTCCCAGGAGGGAGGACAAGAACAGTCACTTCCAGGACCCAGGCAGGCCCCTCTCCAGGAGCTACACCTGCCCCACCCTTCATGTCTGAATCTACTATAGGGAGGATGTGAACCAATGATCCTCATCTGCTGAGGAGAACAGGGACCAGGCTGAGACCCTGCCATGGAGAAGGATACTAATTAAAGCACCTTCAAAGGGAGGGAGGTTCACAGAGAACTGGCCTCCTGAGAACTCTCTTCCTTTGGAGATCTTTGGAAGCAGGAAGTCCTCCATGAACTGAGATTTTTACTGTGGGTCTTAGTCATGGTGTCAATATCCCACCAAGCATCATAATCAATTAAAAGGGAAGCCTGGAAGCTCCACGGGGAGTTATGCACTAAATTGGATTAGTTCCTGTCAAAACAAATGGGAAGTTTCCACAACGCCTGGACATTTACAAAAATACCACAAAGGTTCAAAATGCTATTGAAGGCTCCAAGTGAGCTGGGATTCTGAGTTGAAAACACCAAGTCCTAGCAGCCCAAGTAGCCGAATTTTCTTCAAGATGTCTCCTCAGATCTCTTGAGGGCTCAGAAGCACAGTCTCATAGTTTGTCTCTGGGAGGGCTACCTCAACGGTTCTCAAACTTGAGTGTGCATCCCAATTCTCTGGAGGACTTACTGAAAACTAAATCAGTGAACCACACATCCCGGACCTTCGGATTCAGTAGGTTTGCATTTCTAACAACTTCTCGGTTAAAGTCAATGCTACTGGTCCAGGGATCACACTTGAAGAACCGCTAGTCAAGGAAATAGATCTCTGGAGAAAAGAAGTTCTGGGAAGTTCTGACCTGACTTTCTCACTGTGAGTTCCTCAAGGGTGGGGCACTAGTCTCATTCATCTTTGTAGCCATGCAGTTGGAAACACAGTGAGTCTTTAGCTACTGTTTGTGGAATTAAATGGAATTTTGGTGGAGGTAACAAGGCTTCAAGTGGAAGGTATTGAGTCAGAGCAGTTAGCTGAAGAAGATAATGACAAACACAAAGCCAAAAAGTTCTAGAGTAGGTATGGTCCTGCTAATAGGGTCATAGACTCTAGGACCCACAATTTTGCCGTTTTTATAAGGGAACACAACTATTTTTGAACTTTGATTCATGGAATCATAGACTAATAACATATTAGAGCTAAACGGGTCCAAATAGAGTCCAAGTCACTCACTTTACAGAAAGGGCAACTGAGGCTCAGAGAGATGGCTCTATCTCTGCAAGAGCTCATGGCTCATCACTGTCAGACCTGGGACTATACCGATGCCTTTTCCACCGCCTCGCATGGCAGGCATGTTAAGAAATTCTCAGTATGGCTGGCACTACAATATGCACTTTGCAAATACTTGGGAACACTCTAAAATATTTGCTGTGAAGAGCTTCACAGCTTCTCCACATAGAGATTGTTGAGAGATGTTTCCAGAAAACGGAACATACAGAAAACTCTGCATGTGTTCCTCTTAGGCTGAACTTTGCTTCTGTGGAGGACATCCCCGTCTCCTTGGCCTGGTCATCCCTCTAACCATAAAGCGATGATCTGGACGCTGTCAACAGCATTTCCAATGCTGTCAGCTTGACTCCAAAGTCCACGTATTTGCCAAAAGAGCGTCTCTTACCCTTCCAGAGAAGGGGACCTGAGCCAGGACAATTGTAAGCGACATTCCTACTCCAGCAGAATGCAGGGCGCAACCTCAGAACTCTTTCCTCCTCTCAGGGCTGCAGCCTTGTCGCTAATCTGCCTCCCCTATTCTGGCTAGATTCAGTCATGGCTGTAATCATATGGTAAATATTGATGCCAGCTGCCTGGGGAGGTCGGGACAAGTTTAGAGAAAGAAGAGATGAATCCTCATGATGGGGGTAAAATAATTTCATCTGGAGACTGAGGGTGCTCTGGAATCCTAGAGTCCTAGGATCCCATGCCAGTCCAGCCTCTGCCACTTTCTGTCCAAATGGACTTGAGCCTCTCCTTAAACTCTCTGACCTTCAGTCTCTTCTTCTGTAAAATGCAGGTAATAATACCTTATAGGATGGTTGTGAGACACAAAAGACAATATAATCATAATTTATAGCTAACATTCATTGAGCACTAAATAAGTGCCAGGCCAACATGTGTTGGCTTATTTATTCTTCACACACACCTTCAATGATAAATGCGAAAGGATTTTGTCCTTTTAGACCTGCCATTTCCAGAATACTCAAGATGCACCAAGACCACACTGGCTTTCTGGGGTCAGTTCTTTCCTTGCCTGGAATCAGATCCTGAGAGCTATGGCCCAAACTTGCCTGCCTCCTGCCAAGTACTTCTCCCTTGCTAAATGCCTATTTGTATTTCTTAAAAAAAAAAAAAAAAACTTAATAAAATTGTGAAAACAGATGCTTGCCTCCCTGAATAGCAGCAGCCCAGTAAATCAAGCTGCGAGGCGTTCGCATTCTCATTCACTCGACAAGTGCTTATCAAGAGTTCAGTAGGAGTAGGGTCCCACG